GAGGAGGAGGAGGAGGAGGAGGAGGAGGAGGAGGAGGAGGAGGAGGAGGAGGAGGAGAAGGAGGAGGAGGAGGAGGAGGAGGAGTGGGGGGGGAGGGAGAGGGCTGAGGAAGAGGAGAGGCGACGCCGGGACGGAGGGAGCGGCGCCGCCGTGCGTCCACACGGCCCCGAGCAGCGCCCAGAGGCGCCCCTGCCCGTGCAGAGGGAGAGGCAGGCGGCAAAAGCGCTCGAGAGGGCGCAGGCCCGCTGCGGTGACCTCTCCCTCCCCCCCAGCCTCTCCCCTCCCATCGGCTCCCTCGCTGTCCTCCCCCCAACCCGGCCTGTCGTGGCAGAGCACGGCTGGGCAGGGGTGAAGAACGGACCCTGGGGCCTCACCTGCTGCCCATGCCAATCAAGGAGGAGCGGTTCACGATGCCCTTGTCGTGGAGCACGGCCTGGAGGGCGTTCCCGGCGTTCTGCACATTGGACTCGCCGAGTGCTTCTGCATCAGCTCTTTCACAATCTTCTCCCCCACCAGGGCATGGAACTTGGCCGTGTTGTCCGCATTCTTGTCGACGAGGTTGCGCAATAACCACATCCCCTGCTCCACAACGGCCGGCTCCTCTGCGTACCGATCCAACGCGACGCGGATCAGACTGATGCACTCCCCCTCAGCCAGCGTCACCTGGTTCTCCCGGATCGAGGCGCACATGTTCTTGAGGCCCCACATCGCGTGAACCTGCACGCCAGACGACGAAGCGTGCTCCCTCATGCACGCCAGCAGCGCCTGGCAAACTCCCAGTGAGGACATCTTCGTCTGGTTCTCTGGATGTCCGTAAGCCAGATGGCAGAGTGCCCAGCAGGCCTGGTTCAGAAACTCTGCGTCACCCGGGTGCTTCTTCATGGCCTCCAGGATCCGCTCGGCGCCCCCGGCGCTCGCGATCCTCGTCTGGTTCGACTGGTTGGGCGTCAGCATGCGAAGGCACGCGCAGGCCGCCTCCTGCACGCGCGCATCGTCCACCAGGGCCGACATCGCCCTCAGGAGGGCGGCCACTCCACCGAGCGCCGCGATCTTCGTCTTGTTCGAAGTGCTGTTGGACGCCAGGTTGAACAGGGCCTCGCACGCCGCCACCTGCAGGCTGCTGATCTGCAGGCTGCCGGTCATCTCCATCGCCCGGATCACAGCCTTGCACCCGCCGCAGGACGTGACCTTCAGCTGCCCCGCCGGCGTGGCCGCCGCGGCGCGCAGGAAGCGCACGCCGCTCTCCTGCAGCGGGGCGGAGCCCGCGCCGTAGTGCACCTCCATCGCCTGGATCACGGCCTCCACGCAGCCCACGGGCAGCAGCTCGTCCTCGGCGCCCGCCCGCTGCAGCGCCTCCAGGCGCCGGAAGCCGGCCAGACGCACGTCGAGGATGACGAAGGTCGACATGGCGGCCAGCACCTCCCGCGCCTCCATGCAGGGCATCTGCTCCAGCAGCAGCTTCAGCTGGGCCAGCTCGTCGATCTCCTCGACGACCGGGGGCGGCGTCCAGTCGCCTCGGGGCTGCACGGCCGTGTTCGCCTTGGCGCCGGACTGCCGCGCGGCGCGCGCCCGCTGCTCGCGGCGGTCGAACGCCGCCGCGGACGTGCAGCACGCGCCCATGCGGCTGCTCTCTTCGGGCCTGGCGGCCGAAAGCGGGGCTGCTCTCTCTGCGGGGGGGCGCGGAGGGGGGCGGAGGGAGCGTGCTCGAGCCAACCACGCCTGCAGCCACAGTGGCTGCGGCTCTTGGGGGCCGTCTTGGGGCCCTGTTGGGCCCCCTTGGGGCTCACTTGGACTGCCTGGAGCCCCTTTCGGGTAATTGTCGGGCGATGCTCTGGCCCCCTGGGCGGTCTCGGATGCCCGGGAGACCGAAGAAGAGAGCATTCCCCAGATCGTGCAAACACCGCTGGAAACCAACTGCTTCTCTCGCGTGTCGTAGGCCTCTTGGGGGTCGTCTTTGGGCCGTCTTCGGGCGTCTGGTGGGTGCCTGGGGGCTCTCGCGGAGCCGTGCGGCCGCCCTCCAGACCGACTTGGGCCCATCGCCGAGGCCCAGCAGGGGCTTTCAGGAGCCCCGGCGAGCCCGAGGGACCTTCTGCAGAGGTCTCCAGCGGGGGCCCCACGGCCACGGATCCAGGGGTGGTCCCCTCCCCCTCCTGGACTGTTAAAGTACAGCGTGTGGGGTGTCCCTGCAACGGCGAGGAGTACCTCGGGGATCAGGAGGGGGGAGGAATCGTCCGCGAACCATGTCTGCTCGCTCCTGGAAGTATTAGTTATTGGCGGCGCGCGCAGGTGACTGGCGCGACATGGGGGGGGGCTTTCTAAGAAGGCGGAGGAGCTTCCAAGAAGATAGGGGGGCTCCTTCGAAGTCCTCGCCAGGCCACGCAAACGCCTCCTGCTCTGGAGCCCCTCGGCCCTTTGAGAAGGCGCCCGTATTCTAAGAGGCCCCCCGGCCCACTCAGAAGGTCGGCCCCCTCGCGCCACCCTATAGCAAGTGCCTCCCACATGGGGTCCGAGTAGATGCGGTCGGAGTATCGCTTTGGATCGCCGATACATCGCCGACGTATCGGCGACGTCGGCGATGCATCGGCGCCGTCGGCGTGGAGAAACTCGAGATCCACATGAAGACGCCTCCCCGATGCGTCGACCCCACCTGCCCGCACGCAATGATGGGATGCCTGGATTCTGGGGAGGCCAGAAGAAGTCTCCCAGAAGAGACTGGCCCCATTCTCTGGAGGCTCTTGAAAGGCTGGGCGCTCCACTCCAGCCCATCTTGTCGGAGCAGGGCGAGCTGAAACAGTGGCAGCTCAAAAATGTTCAAATCCTGAACAGTGGCAGCAAAACCAACACAGGAAGGTCTCGACCGGGGGGAGATGATCCCAGACTTCGGTGCTGGCGGTTATTGCTGCTGCCACCTAAGAAGCCCGAGTACTAATTACAACCGTCACCGAGATCGGGGTCACTTTCCCTCGGTGGAGGCTGTGGATGCTGAAGGCATCCCGCCGATGTTGGCGTTGACTCCAACCTCTAGGTCTCCAAAACTCGGTCGCCGTCTCCATGCTGCGCCCAGCCGTGGCGACGATGGATCCCCCGAACATCAACTGTTGCTGTCTCCACCTGCCCTCCTCTGAGCTGGGGAGGCCTCGGCCCCCCCTCCATGAGATCCGACGACGCGGACAAAAATACAGCAGCACTGTGAAAAATCACGACCAGAGCCCCAGACCACATCTTGGCACTTTTCGAGACGGACCCACCTGCGAGGCTCCTGGGGCCGGAGATGATGCGAAAGCGTCCGGCTCGAACCAAATGGCGACGCCAGGATGTCAAGGCCGTGCGCGCCGCCAGGAGGACCGACCGTCCCAGCATTCCCATCGGCCTACCATTGCCCTGCGAACAAGAGAATGAGTCAATAACACAAATCATGTTCTTAGAACCCAAAGCCGGTGCGTTAGGACAATGTGTTGATTGCATCTTGGAGAGAGCACAAGAGGTTCTTAAACCAATTACTTGGTGGGCCTACGGCGTGTCGCGGCGGCGGTCCTGGCGACATGCAATGCCTTGCAGGTGGACAGCGTGTCGCTCCGCTCCGCGGGCGGGCGGCTGGGAGCAACTCGCGACGGTGACGACTGGGGACTCCCGCGGGCCGCCCTGCTTCCAACCGCGGTCTCCCTGCCTGACCGGGTCACGGCTCGGCATGCTTCGGAGGGGCGCCTTGGGTCTTGGGGCCATCTTGGATAGTCGTGGGGCTCTCCTCGGGCTCTTCCTCGGAAAAAGGACGACCACGACGATCAGGGTGGTGAGGAGGATGGGGAGGAACACGAGTCGTGCGAGGACGCTGCGTGGGCATTCGAAATGCCTGCGGGGCTACGCCCGACTTACGCTCGCCGCTTGGGCTGGCGGCGGGGCCCCAGCGGCGAGCCGTCTTGTTTTTCGTCTGCTCCCCTCCCGCCGCGGCGACCCGCGGCCCGAGCGTCCCGGGCCTCGTCTCTGCCCTGGCGGCTGCACCCGAGAGAAGAGGAGGGTGCAGCAAAAAAGGCGCTCGCGGGAAGGCTCTCGCCCTGTGCCGGCCCGCCGGCCAGGCCATGGCCTCTCGCGCGGCGGGGCGCGAGGCGCAGGCAGACGCAGCGAGGAGGCGTGGGGGGAGGGAGGAGGAGGAGGAGGAGGAGGAGGAGGAGGAGGAGGAGGAGGAGGAGGAGGAGGAGGAGGAGGAGGAGGAGGAGGAGGATGGGGAGGAGGAGGAGCAGGATTTTTTTTGAGCTCTACGCTCTGCACCGCAACATTCTGCCTGGCCCTCTACTGCGGGGGGAGAGGGACAGATGTGGGCCAGCGGGCCTGCTGTCGGACGAAAACCGACACAGCCCCTGCAGGCAGGAAAAGGAGGCGAGGAAAAACTCGCCACGGCAGACACCTGGGCCGAAAGAGATGGCCAGGAGAGCCGACTAGCCCGAAGAGGGCCGAGAGGAGCCCGAGCGGGCAACCTCGAGCAAGCGCTGGGCCAGGACGGCCTGGTGCTTGCTGCGAGCATCCTCCACCTCCGAGGACGGGGGAAGGGGAGGCTCAACCGAGGGAGCGGGGACCTCCTCCACCTCCACGGCAGGCTCGGCAGGCTCAAGGACTCCGTCCACGGAGCTGAACAGGCTCATAATGTTCCCTGTGTGGACCCTGACCTCCCTCTTGCTGTACTGGGGGTGCAGGCCTCGTTTGCACAACGTGTTCCATCCCGTCCGAGTGGTCTTGGTCGGACGGCCAACACATTTCACAGACAAACCGCGAACTCTCTGGCCCGAGGAGTGACAGTGGCAACGCACACAGATGAAAAGAACGCTGCTGCCAGAACAGTCAAACGCTAAAACACGATGCTCTAGAGCCAAGAGACGGCCCTCGTCAAGTTTACTGCGACCACTGCAGGAACCAGGAGGGGGCTCAACGAGGGCTCGAGTGCCACGTAAACAAACTTCACACCTCCACGCTCCCGCCCAGGGTCTCCAGACATGTGGCACGGGCGCTGAGGCAGCCGAGGGCTTACTGAGCAACTCAACACCCGACAGATCTATGGGGTCCCACAAAGGCAGGAGGCGGGCCGCGAGGCGCAGGGTGCAGCGGGCCGCCTTTATTAATTTGTCCGTGACATCATTGGCTTCGGCCGAGCTGGGATGCATGTCTATAGCATGCTTAGCTCCAACATCGGCCCAGTAGTTGCCTTGTCTACGCCATCTCTCTTCGCTGGAGATGCCTTGCTCATCTCGGTCCTTATGAGCAGCAACTTTCTCCACGGGGAGGAGGGAGGACGCGGTGGAGTAGACGAGGAGACGGGGGAGGAGGAGGAGGAGGAGGAGGGGGAGGAGGAGGAGGAGGAGGAGGAGGAGGAGGAGGAGGAGGAGGAGGAGGAGGAGGAGGGGAGAAGGAGGAGGAGGAGAGGAGAGAGGAGGAGGAGGAGGAGAAGGGGAGGAGGAGGAGGAGGAGGAGGAGAGGAGGAGGAGGAGGAGAAGGAGGGTAGGAGGAGGAAGGAGGAGGGAGGAGGAGGAGGAGGGAGAGGAGGAGGAGGAGGAGGAGGAGGAGGAGGCGACGGAGAGAGGGGAGGAGGAGGAGGAGGAGGAGCGAGGAGGAGGAGGAGGAGGAGGAGGAGCAGGAGCAGGGAGGAGGAGGAGGAGAGAGGAGGAGGAGAGGAGAGGAGGAGGAGGAGGAAGAAAACGGGGGAGAAGGAGGCGGAGGAGGAGGAGGAGGAGGAGGAGAGGAGGAGGAGGAGAGGAGGAGGGAGGAGGAGGAGGAGGAGGAGGAGGAGGAGAAAGGAGGAGGATGAGACGGTGTGAAGGAAGAGGAGGAGGAGGTGGAGGAGGAGGAGAGAGAAGGAGGAGGAGACGGGGGAGAGGAGAGGAGGAGAGGAGGAGGAGGGGAGGAGGAGGAGAGAGGAGGAGGAGGAGGAGGATGGAGGAGGAGGAGGAGGAGGAGAGAGAGGAGGAGGAGGGAGTGAGGAGGAGGAGGAGGAGGAGGAGGAGGAGGAGGAGGAGGAGGAGGAGGAGGAGGAGGAGGAGGAGGAGGAGGAGGAGGAGGAGTGGGGGGGGAGGGAGAGGGCTGGGGAAGAGAAGAGGCGACGCTGGGACGGAGGGAGCGGCGCCGCCGTGCGTCCACACGGCCCCGAGCAGCGCCCAGAGGCGCCCCTGCCCGTGCAGAGGGAGAGGCAGGCGGCAAAAGCGCTCGAGAGGACGCAGGCCCGCTGCGGTGACCTCTCCCTCCCCCCCAGCCTCTCCCCTCCCATCGGCTCCCTCGCTGTCCTCCCCCCAACCCGGCCTGTCGTGGCAGAGCACGGCTGGGCAGGGGTGAAGAACGGACCCTGGGGCCTCACCTGCTGCCCATGCCAATCAAGGAGGAGCGGTTCACGATGCCCTTGTCGTGGAGCACGGCCTGGAGGGCGTTCCCGGCGTTCTGCACATTGGACTCGCCGGAGTGCTTCTGCATCAGCTCTTTCACAATCTTCTCCCCCACCAGGGCATGGAACTTGGCCGTGTTGTCCGCATTCTTGTCGACGAGGTTGCGCAATAACCACATCCCCTGCTCCACAACGGCCGGCTCCTCTGCGTACCGATCCAACGCGACGCGGATCAGACTGATGCACTCCCCCTCAGCCAGCGTCACCTGGTTCTCCCGGATCGAGGCGCACATGTTCTTGAGGCCCCACATCGCGTGAACCTGCACGCCAGACGACGAAGCGTGCTCCCTCATGCACGCCAGCAGCGCCTGGCAAACTCCCAGTGAGGACATCTTCGTCTGGTTCTCTGGATGTCCGTAAGCCAGATGGCAGAGTGCCCAGCAGGCCTGGTTCAGAAACTCTGCGTCACCCGGGTGCTTCTTCATGGCCTCCAGGATCCGCTCGGCGCCCCCGGCGCTCGCGATCCTCGTCTGGTTCGACTGGTTGGGCGTCAGCATGCGAAGGCACGCGCAGGCCGCCTCCTGCACGCGCGCATCGTCCACCAGGGCCGACATCGCCCTCAGGAGGGCGGCCACTCCACCGAGCGCCGCGATCTTCGTCTTGTTCGAAGTGCTGTTGGACGCCAGGTTGAACAGGGCCTCGCACGCCGCCACCTGCAGGCTGCTGATCTGCAGGCTGCCGGTCATCTCCATCGCCCGGATCACAGCCTTGCACCCGCCGCAGGACGTGACCTTCAGCTGCCCCGCCGGCGTGGCCGCCGCGGCGCGCAGGAAGCGCACGCCGCTCTCCTGCAGCGGGGCGGAGCCCGCGCCGTAGTGCACCTCCATCGCCTGGATCACGGCCTCCACGCAGCCCACGGGCAGCAGCTCGTCCTCGGCGCCCGCCCGCTGCAGCGCCTCCAGGCGCCGGAAGCCGGCCAGACGCACGTCGAGGATGACGAAGGTCGACATGGCGGCCAGCACCTCCCGCGCCTCCATGCAGGGCATCTGCTCCAGCAGCAGCTTCAGCTGGGCCAGCTCGTCGATCTCCTCGACGACCGGGGGCGGCGTCCAGTCGCCTCGGGGCTGCACGGCCGTGTTCGCCTTGGCGCCGGACTGCCGCGCGGCGCGCGCCCGCTGCTCGCGGCGGTCGAACGCCGCCGCGGACGTGCAGCACGCGCCCATGCGGCTGCTCTCTTCGGGCCTGGCGGCCGAAAGCGGGGCTGCTCTCTCTGCGGGGGGGCGCGGAGGGGGGCGGAGGGAGCGTGCTCGAGCCAACCACGCCTGCAGCCACAGTGGCTGCGGCTCTTGGGGGCCGTCTTGGGGCCCTGTTGGGCCCCCTTGGGGCTCACTTGGACTGCCTGGAGCCCCTTTCGGGTAATTGTCGGGCGATGCTCTGGCCCCCTGGGCGGTCTCGGATGCCCGGGAGACCGAAGAAGAGAGCATTCCCCTGATCGTGCAAACACCGCTGGAAACCAACTGCTTCTCTCGCGTGTCGTAGGCCTCTTGGGGGTCGTCTTTGGGCCGTCTTCGGGCGTCTGGTGGGTGCCTGGGGGCTCTCGCGGAGCCGTGCGGCCGCCCTCCAGACCGACTTGGGCCCATCGCCGAGGCCCAGCAGGGGCTTCCAGGAGCCCCGGCGAGCCCGAGGGACCTTCTGCAGAGGTCTCCAGCGGGGGCCCCACGGCCACGGATCCAGGGGTGGTCCCCTCCCCCTCCTGGACTGTTAAAGTACAGCGTGTGGGGTGTCCCTGCAACGGCGAGGAGTACCTCGGGGATCAGGAGGGGGGAGGAATCGTCCGCGAACCATGTCTGCTCGCTCCTGGAAGTATTAGTTATTGGCGGCGCCCGCAGGTGCCTGGCGCGACATGGGGGGGGGGCTTCCTAAGAAGGCGGAGGAGCTTCTGAGAAGACAGGGGGGTTCCTTAGAAGTCCTCGCCAGGCCACGAAGACGCCTCATGCTCAGGAGCCCCTCGGCCCTTTGAGAAGGCGCCCGCATTCTAAGAGGCCCCCCGGCCCACTCAGAAGGTCGGCCCCCTCGCGCCACCCTATAGCAAATGCCTCCCACATGGAGTCCGAGTAGATGCGGTCGGAGTATCGCTTCGAATCGCCGATGCATCGCCGACGTATCGGTGACGTCGGCGATGCATCGGCGCCGTCGGCGTGGAGAAACTCGAGATCCACATGAAGACGTCTCCCCGATGCATCGACCCCATCTGCCCGCACGCAATGATGGGATGCCTGGATTCTGGGGAGGCCAGAAGGAGTCTCCCAGAAGAGACTGGCCCCATTCTCCGGAGGCTCTTGAGAGACTGGCCGCTCCACTCCAGCCCATCTTGTCGGAGCAGGGCGAGTTGAAACAGTGGCAGCCAAGAATCTTGAAGTCCTGCACATTGGCACCAAAACCAACACAGGAAGGTGTCTCGACCGGGGGGAGACGATCTCGGACATCGGGGCTGGTGGTAATTGCTGCTGCCACCTAAGAATAAGTACGACCACCATCACCGAGGTCGAGATCGCTTTCCCTCGATGGAGGCACACCGCCGATGTTGACGTTGATCCAACCTCTAGGCATCCGAAACTCGGTCGCCGTTTCCGAGCTGCGTCCAGCCGTGGCGACGATGGATTCCTCGAAGATCAATTGCCGCTGTCTGAACCTGCCCTCCTCTGAACTTGGGAGGCCTGGACCCCCCATTAGATCCGACGACGCGAACAAAAATACAACACTGTGCAAATCACGACCGAAGCCCAACACCCCATCTTTCTTCGGCACTTTTTCCGAGCCGGACCGACCTGCGAGGCTCCCCAAGGCCGGAGAGGATGCGAAAGAGTCCGACTCGAACCAAATGGCGACGCCAAGATCGCAAGGCCGTGCGCGCCGCCAGGAGTGCGTGGTAAGCCACGGCGACGGGCTTGAGCAGGAACCGACCGTCCGAGCACTCCAGTAGGCCTACCACTTGTGCGAATAACAAAGGCAATGTTTGGTACACTACAAGAAATACTTGACTATACCATCTCGTATAAGAGGTCCTTAAACACAGTGCTTGGTGGGCCTACGGTCAAGAACTTTTGCATGCGGGCCGCAGCGGCGGTCCCGGCAACATGCCAGGCCTTGCCAGTGGATAACGTGTCGCTCCGCACCGCGGGCGGGCGGCTGGGAACAACTCGTGACTTTGACGCCTGGGGACCGCGAAGTGGATAGCCTGTCGCGCCGAAGCGTGGTGGGCCAGAACCGGCGGAGCGACACGTTTAGCCAAAGTTCCCCACCAAAGGCAGGCCGGGGCGCTTCGTCACTGCTTTTGGCGGCACGCACCAGAGGGTAGGGGCAGGGGGGGAGGCTTCTTAGAAGGAAGCTGCTTCTTAGCAGGCGCCGCCCCTACCTATGCAGACGAGGCCCCCGCCTTCTAAGAAGCGGTGGTGCTTCTGAGAGGCCTCCTCCCCCCCCCCAGCTACACCCCTCTGCGCGCGGCCGAGAAGAGACGCGTTTTCGTTGCCGCGGTACTAGCGGTCGCGTTGCGCCCCCGAGGCACACCATTAGGTACAGCACGGCGCTTGCCGCACAAGAGAGGACAAGGCGAGGCAGAGGGCGGCCGCGAAGGGAAGA